CATTATAACGCCCCCACGGCTGAAAGGGCGAGCATGTTTGGTGTAACGGGGGATTCGAACCCGCGGCCCACAGATTGCGAGTCGAGCGCCCTAACCACCTGGCCATTTCATGGAAGGGGGGGGGGGGAAGAGACCAATCTCCCCACTTAATACGCTGCTGCTGAAAAACTTAAATAGTTTGAAGACAAATATTAAAATAATATACAAGTAGTTACTTCTTTTTACGAACAATCTAAAAACATTATTTTTATTTGACAATAAAACTTAAACTGTATAATAAACCGTTTATTTCTTTAATCACTGCTGGTATATCTGTTTAAGGAAGAAGCCGAGGACAGCAATTCTAAAAACTTTTATATTCTTACTAACGACTCGGCTGTTAAGAATAGACAGTGATCGAAATTTCAGTTTTCGTATGGTCATAGTGAGTGTTTTATTAGTTAATTATTAGTGAAATGTTTATATTTTAAACTAAAAGCCCTAGTAAAACAACTGACCCAAAGGGCTGAACAACTTTCATTTTGTTTGTGGATAAAAGATATGGAATTTTCAATCTCAATGACATCTTATGCGCACATAACTTCAGCTATAATCGTCATTAATGGCTCAAAACAATCTATTCGTTGTTTTAGCTCTCTGGTGTATTGATATATCTTCTTCCTTCTGTTAGGCTAAAGCCTGTCAGCTGTATCACTCTACAAAACTTTATCACACATTCCTACCCAGATACAATTCTTATTCTACTACCTACTTCATTCACTGTTGTTCCTCTATTTCAATATTTTGTCTTCATCTCACCCTTGATATTCTTCCGATTAACATCCACTACATGTATTTTTGGGTATCTTTCTTTAACTATCCACTTGACATACTCATACCACCTAAACTGGCTCCTCTCTATACATTCTAGCACAGAACCCACTTAAAGCTCCTCCTTATATCCTCATTTCTTATTATACCACCATGAGTAACTCCATATAGGATCTCAAAGCTTTCATCTCTGCTGCCTGTATTTTACTCGTTTCTTGGTTAACACCCAAACTTCTAAGACGTGTATCAATAATGGTATTATAAATAGCGTATTTATATATAAATTCTGTTTATTATAACCTAAATAAATATTTTGTGGTTTTATATATACATATTAAATGACAGCACATTGCGAAAGCGTTATAGCTATAGAGGGCTGAGTACGTTATATTAAAACGATTTTGAATATGCAGATTAGCAAGGCACGTGACAATCATTGCCGATGTAAACTCGCGGAATGCGTCAGAACTACATTTTTACATTGTTTGAAGTTTCGTAGGTAGTGTGATATCCCGAAAATTGACCAATTTTGGAAATATTAATACACTTAGGTCGTAAAGATGTGTTCTGATTGGAGATTTACATTTTAAACTAAAAGTCCCACCTAAAACGAATTTCTTTGGAAAACAAAGAAATATGGATCAACTTAGTGCCCTTGGGGTATCCAAAAAGTGATCTGCAACAAGTCGTACCCCAGTTTTTGAAAGTAAACTGTTGCGTCTTGTAACAGTTGAAAATCCACGTGGCAAAAACCGTCCACGATCCCTAAGCAACATAATTAAGGACATCTGTCTAGAAAAGCAACACAAGAGATTTATACACAAGTTGCTTCCACGAAACAGGCATTCAGACCGTCGCATACCTCAAACAGCTAGAGATTGGAATGAGTATTCATGCCATTCTATGTAAAGTTGCATATTAATTTCTGTGTGATTGGATTGTCGAAATGGTCACTATGAAACCATTCTTATACTACACTAGATAGAATATGGAAAGAATGTAGGGATGAGGGGGGTGTTTTCAACATGATAGTTATACGACAGAGCATTCTTGCAATGGAAACTACGCTTCAAGGTTATTGTAAATATGCATGGTCGCCAGCTGGAGCACTACGTCCAGACGTTGCAGCATGGGCTTTAACGATGTGTTAAGGCTCCAAAATCGTTGTAATAAAACGTATTCAACCATTGTATTTAAAAAGCACGATTATAGTATCTACTATCCAAAAGAATACAACATGTACATATACCAATATATTTTGATAATCAACAATTTTTTGTTATTCACTTTCTATACGGAAGAACAAAGTACATATAGAAGTTATAGTTTTCATATACCAGCGTTATTGTTTTCGTTGCCATAGTTAGTAGCCAATAAAATTTACTATTTTTCCTTTCAGCTACCTGCAAGAAGATAAAAGTTCGAGAACGACGACTGTTGAAAGATTTTAACATCGGATTAGTGGAAGGTTGCTCAGGCGAAGCTCCTCCTGACATCAAGACTAGTGAAAATAAACTTTCTTTGAAGTCAGGTAACCATCATCCATCTTCTAAATGGAGAGAAATGATTACAGATGCCAAACGATCCCAAATCGGAAGTAGCAGAAGCCTAGATTCTACGGGTAGAACAGATAGCTTAAGGAAATCATTAGAGAAAGAAATTGATCTACACACTATAGCACCTGTAAACGATACTATTCGTAAGGAAGGAATTCTTTGGAGGTCAGTTTTTGAAGAGAATTTGTTCAAAGATACAAATAATATAAAGTTGAAACCTGAACCTAATTCAGAGCTTAAGCAGTCACGTTTAGAGGATAAAAGTGATTCTTCATCAGTTAATGAAATCAACCAGCTTGAGCCAGAAAAAGAAACTAAATGTTATCTATACAATAATTACTCCAGTAAAAGAAACATCTCCAAAGATAATCAGGGAAATCAAAATGTTTCACAGTCAGTCAGTGACCAGGAAAATAACGAGAAAATAACTGTAGTACCAGAAACACAAGTTAAAAACTGTTTGAACCATCAGATGTTTCCTCTACTAGGAAACATTGATGATGAAACTAGAAGTGGTTATTTTTACAGGACACTTCCCCAAAAGCCATCACAATGTGGACAAACTATATCAAACAACACCTCTAGAACACTTCCTCCTTCTAAAAAGTTAACAGCAATTCAAACAATAATGCCTCCAAACTTAATTGATAACACCATCTCCTCTAGCCAATCACAGACTTCAACGTTAACTGAGAGTTCCAACCCAGCTACCGAGCAATTACACGATAATAAGGGTGACATACAGAATTCAAAGCTATCAACATCCGGACAAGATGAGTCACTTCCACAAGTACTTGAAGCTGGAGAAGATCTAAATAAAATGACATCTAAAGTCATTAATGTTAATAAAACCATCATGGTAGACGGTGGTATAGATAACGCTGCTTTTGAGAACTCACTACATAAAGTAACTGAAGACACCATAAGACCTACTGAAACCCTAGAACAGAATATGACCAATGTTTCTAGATGTCACTATCCAATTATTGCACCTAATGTGATGGCCGACCCCATTCACACAGTAGAAATGCCTCAGGATTCAGATTCAACTGTGGTGGAGGTACCCCCTAGCCCCCGCAGTGGTCAGAAGGTAGATTGCGAAAATCGTATTCGTCTTCCTCCACCTCCACCACCACCAATTTCTGGTAAGAAATTGCCCCTAGGGGATTATCAGCAAGCAGATTCATCCTCAAGCTCTGGTAATTCAACAGCATCTTCACCAGACTCTGGACGACAGTTGTTGATTCCAATCTCACAACATGTTCCAGATGTTGCCACTATCAAACGACATCATCATATGGGCTGGATGTAAAAGGAAAACAACAAATTTGTTTCGAATATTAGACTACTGGCTTTATAAGCAATAATGTAGATAAAGCCACAAGACGCTACTGTAAACGTATGTTAGTATATGCATCTTAAAAATATTTGATGCAATTAGGACATATTAAAGCTACTAGACACTGTATCGTAATACCTAGTACACAGCTTTCTATCCATAAAACGTAATGAATAGAAATTACGTATAGTACACAAACACATTATATATATATATATATATATATATATATATATAGTGCAATAAAAACGTTTTGACCCACACTTTGAATATTTTGAACATAACTAGTAATTAATCTTTATGTGAAATTTTACTTTACACAAAACACTTTATTACACTTTTCTCTCTTCTTCCTTTTAAAAAAATTAATGGATTATATTATTTTACAATTTATCATTTGTTTATTCAGTTCTTGAATGAAAATAGGTTTTTTAAAATAAAGATAAATGGCTTAAAACTTTGATGTAAAGAGTCAGCAAGATGAACGGTGTAATTTGCTATGAAAAGTATTTCGTTTATTTCATACTCACTCCAGGAATTACACATTATTTGTTCATATTACGATAACAAAAACAAATCCTATACAGAGGAATAAAAATATCAAATATTTTACGTAGAAGAATTATAGTTTGTATTTTAAAAATTGCATATAAAAAATAACTTGGTATTCTAAACTATCCAGGAAAATAGTGTTTTGAATACAAGTATTATAATAACGAGAAATTAAAAGAGAAATGATTCAATATAATCATATATTTCTCGACATGTTATTTAGAGTAACAGTTATTGATTTTAATGGAAAAGGTATGGGTAATATTTTTGGATTTCTAAGTAAGCTTACATTTATTAAAAAAATATTTTATGGAAACTATATAATCAGTAGTTTTGGATTTTTGTTGTTCAATAATTGTTAAAATGAGAAAACAATTTACATAATACATAAACTGTATGTTTATCGTTCAACAATACATTTCTGAACCCTTGTGTGCTTATTACAAAATAAAGATATTCTAATTCTACGACCCACAACTTTTTCAAATTTTTTTTTGGTGAATTTTGTGTATGACATCAAAGTCAGTTTCCTTTTGAGTAATTTATGTATAAATCAAATCGATAATCAAATAAACATTTTTTGCACATCGCTAAAACATTTATTGAAGCCATCAACAGCTTCCATTGAAAAACACTACATGTTATTACTTTATTATGCCATATACAAGAATAGTTAAAGAACATTCTTGTTATATTGTTCTTAAACACAAACTGTATGAAGAAATCCCCTTTGTGAGGAGGAGAAGAAAGAAAAAAAAATCTTTAATGCCTTCAAGATCCACACATGCCTTAAGTAATTGTAGATGTTGGTTACTTGAATCAAATATATTCTGACAACACCACAACAAATGATACATATATAGCATTCAGTGATTTTTATTATTATTATTATTATAAGTCATGCATTTGAATGTATGTAGTTTAATAATTTGTGTAGTTCACAACTGTCTTTGGTAAATTTTTCATCAGACCACGCAAGGTTAATTATCATGTCTGATGATATGTACGGCAGCATTGTAAAAGTGACACTACAGCTTCTTGTCCTAAAAGTTGTTATAGTCTCTACCATTGTAATCTCCAGCTAACCCTTGATGTTTTCCTTTCATAGTCTTCTGCATTTATTAGGACAACTGTCCTGAACTATTTGGTTGCATGACTTTTTTTTTCTGTAGCATGTCTCTTTACTTTAAAATACATTGGGTATCCCATCTTCAGTCACCCTTGTATCTTGTTTTGCTCTTTTTGAGATTGGAAGATACAGCTTTTACACTATTGCTTCTTTATAAGCTTTACTTGACCATCACTGACCTAACAAATTCAGGTTTTTCTACCAATTGCAACTATGACAGTGCTGGCAGCCCCATTTACATTTTATTTGCTGTTTGGTTTTACATGTGGATGAAAACAAATAGAGCACATTTTGCACAGAGTAAAAAAATCCTTTAAATGTACACCCTCTCCTAATGAATTTGCAGAGAAGAGCTACTAACTTTATATATAATAATGCTATTTTCTTACAACATCAATTGCAAGGAACTTCAGGAGGACAGTGTATCATATACACATATATAAAGCAGTATTGGTAAAAATGTAAAAACTGTATGAACTAAGTTAAATCACCTTTTTAGATCAACCTGTTTTGTATTTTTATTTCATGTATGTTGGAAACTTTTGATGGTTTCACACAGTAATTGAAGCTGTTGTTATGATTATACATCAAGAATGACTGTTTGATGAATTTTTTCAGCAGCAGATTAAAAACTGAAACATAGGATAAAAACAAATTATTAATCAAATAGGTGATTGTACTAATCGTGACAACAATAAAATGGTAGTAGTTCTAACAGTGTAAACTGTAGGTGATTGTAATAATAGGTGATTGTAATAATCATGACAACAATAAAATGGTAGTAGTTCTAATAGTGTAAACTCAGGTGATTGTAATAATAGGTGATTGTACTAATCATGACAACAATAAAATGGTAGTAGTTCTAATAGTGTAAACTGCAGGTGATTGTAATAATAGGTGATTGTACTAATCATGACAACAATAAAATGGTAGTAGTTCTAATAGTGTAAACTGCAGGTGATTGTAATAATAGGTGATTGTAACAATCATGACAATAAAATGGTAGTAGTTCTAATAGTGTAAACTGCAGGTGATTGTAATAATCATGACAACAATAAAATGGTAGTAGTTCTAATAGTGTAAACTGCAACAGTTTCAAATTTATATATATATTATATATATGTAATTATTATAGAATTTATTATCCACACGTGAGGCTATAATAAAAGCAAAACTACATGGAAACAGAGAACATAAAGTGTGAAATAACTTTATTCAACCCATTTGCACATAACTTTAAATATTATGTCCATCTTAATGAGCAAGGTTCCAGCCATAACTCTCCACAAGTAACAACACAGTATTAAACAGACGAGGTACATTTAAAAAATTTATGAAACATCTACAGCAGATGTCACACCCAGTGGACAAGCTTTCTAGTTCACAAAGGAGGAGACTATTACCAACCACACTATATTGCAGGAAATGGATCAGTCACAGAATGCACATATACAAATCATCAACCATTATAGGATTAATGAGTAACATGCCTATTAAAACAATATATAAATAAATATGTATATATAATTAGTTAAATAACACAGATTCAGGATCTTCATTGCCTAACTGTTTGATGTGTCGCAGAACATCTTTTTTTGTAATAATTCCAAGTAGTCGCCTGAAAGATAGAAAATTACTGGATTAGTAAAATAACCATTATACAGTGTGTTTGGTGAGCTTCTACCTTTTCATAAATAGATGACACTAATAATTTTACAAAAATATTAAAACTTAGGTTGAGGAGAAATGAACCCTGGTAACAAGGAAAACATTTTAAGAATTTAAGATAATTGTTTTAAAATGTTGCAAGTACCACAATAGTATTATCAGGATTGGAAATATTAAGCTAGGGCAATTAGCCTTTAATGGTTAGAGAAACAGAATACATTGTAATTACAAAGAAGACAATCATTCCTGTATACATTTGTCAAAGTATATAAGGAACAGATGAGGCACGTCAATAAATTCAACTATCTGAGAAACTAGATAATATCAGATGTCAAAAGAAGCTTTCTGAAAATGAAAATATACTAACAAATAGTAGAATTTCTATGGGAACGTGGTTAATAGTTTTGGATAGTTATGCTATACCAATTCTCATGTATGCATTAGAATGTTAGACAATGTCAGAATGTCTTCCCAATGGCTTTCTCAGCTATTTTAATGGACTTGGCTCCATTTCTTTCTTTTGAACCAATATTTCAACGAGATAGGGTGCGTCTTTAGTCTGCTCCAAATTTAAAATTCTTTTAGACTAAAATACATCTTAGTTATTAAGCTTTATAAATTATAGTAGAATTCGATGGTATTAATGTAGTAATTTATAATTTTTTAGTTATTCAAATGTATGTATAAACCTAAAAAACATTTTTTCATATCCTCCATGTGCAAAATTTTTAAAGGCTTAGCAACCTACCTAAAGCAGCAACTGAGTACAAAGGTCGTAACTGGAAGAGATAATTGTTTGCTTTACTTCTTTATTTACTTTTCTAATAAATTCTATTACGTAAGAATACAGAACAAAAAGAAACTTACCCATTGTGAATGACTAATACTTGTCTTAATCCCAACTTACAGAACATGTCAATGACCGTTTCCACAGGAGTTTGGTCAGTGATGGTTATTGGAGCCTGTAAAATATGTCATGTTAACTAATCATTCTCTGACATTTCTAAGTTCTTATTGTTTAACTGTGAGTCACAAAACACTTAAGCATGAACCACTTTTTTCATAGTTCTAAAACTAGGTAGAAAAAAAAAATGCAGCAAACCAGATGCAAGTTTCAGTGCACTTTTCATATGTACTATACCTTTCACAAATATTCATCAAACCTCAGAAATTATACAGTAGCTAGGGTTACCTGAAAATGAGGTAGTGTTTTACTTCAACCTAACAAAATGTTCCATTGAAAATACAAGTTAGATTTAGCTTATTTCTAGGTTATTATATGTTGGGTAGTAACTAAAGTTAGTGTTAGACAAAAACCTAACAAAGCCTATATTAAACCTGTAAGCCAAATAAATACTGATTTCTGTAAAAAAAATATATTTCAAAAATTCCAATTAAAGATCCACAAACATTCTGTTTTAAAATAATATTAATGTTACAATTAAAACAAACACTAAATCTCATTTTATATTATCAGATCTGACTTTAATCTATTATTTTCCCTACTTTTTAATAAGCTATGACTTACAATAGAAATGGTAATAGTTTATTGTTAAAGATCATTCTTACTTGCTTTCACTTATTCAATTCCATAATTTGAAACTGACATAGAGATAGCCTGAAACTAACAGGGATGTCTAATCTGAAAATTAAGTTATTTATTATTATTACATCTACATGTAGTCTGCAAATGACACAGACAGATATAGGCTAAATGCAGTCAGATACAGAATCTGAAATCAATATATCATACACTCATAGAGTATAGATTTAGTCTGAAATTAATTTAGTTGAATATACTCTAAAAATGACATTTATCTATTTTAAAAAACGTGTCTACAATTTCAACCAACAGAATTAGTCATTTTGATGCTTCAATTGATTTTATGAATAATACTGTTAAGTACGTAGAGAGGATTGCTAAATAAATCACCTTGTTTCGTTTGTGATTAACCTGTTTATGCTGTACTTTGTATCTGGAACACAACTTCTCTCCATTTCAACCGCTATTATTACTATGTAATAGTATTAATTATCATAATCATGTAATATTTTTCTTTATTAAAATACGTTTTACTTTAGTTTTAGCTGTGTTCAGAAGTTACAATTCTGTTCAATTATTATTTATTCATTTTTACTTACCAGTGTTTCTTTGATAATAGGAGAAACAAAACTCTGCTGAAAACCTTGGTCATTATTACATACATGAGGTATAAGGCATTAAAATCATATCTTCATAGTTCAAACTAAATAGCAATATATATATGAAAAGGAAGGTTGATGAGTCATATATATATATATACAGAGGATGAGTACATTATATCAAGACCATTTTAGTCTCACCTCATTGTTACAGTCCATGTCCTATCATGCTCTATCTGATAGTTGTGCACCTTGACCAACCTATCAAGAATAGTTTCCACTGCAAAAGGCTATATCTATATTCAAAGCACATGACTTCTCCTTAGTGTTTTCCATAAGCCATCTAGTATATGAGGATGATGGTTTCCCAGCAACCTATTTCAACATTTAAATTGCACAGAAATCCATAGACACTGCATCCAACAACTTTAGTGGTATGTCTTTGTATAGAATAGCACAACTGTCCATTTCTTTCTCTAACTGTTCAATGGTTGAACAGATATGTCATTGAAGCAAATTTTATTGCCTTTTCAGGTGAAGATTCTTTTTAATTATGTTGCTTATTGTTACCTAGGGCATGTAGATGACTTTTGCCACTGATCTTTGTGTTAGTGGATTCCTACCTGTTATAAGGCACCATACTTTGCTTAACACATCTGGAGAATGACTTGTTGCAAGTCTCTTTCTGAATGGTCTTAGTGCCTCAAACTGATCTAATGCTGTTAAGTATAATGGATATCCCCATCTTGGAAATTCTAAATCTCCCATTTGAACACATCATTACTATCTTAATTTATGAATATTTGGCATCAGAAAGGACTAATAACATAGTCTTCCTTAAAGCAATAAATCACTGGTGGCATTACACTACCTATGAAATGTTAAAGTATAGTTCTTACACAATATGTTCCATTGCAACTTTTTATTGGCTGTAGCTGTCATGTGATTTGCTGATTTGCATATTCAAAATTGTTTTCATATAATGTACTCAACCTTCTGTAGTAGCAATTTAATTAATGTTAATATGTATTGTTACAAAACAAAATAAATCAGAGCATGTAAAACTGTACATAATACAATTTATATAGGACGAGGTACATACATTAGTAAAAAGCATGATGTGTTTCAATTGTGAATGTAAATTTTTAAATCAATTCAGCACAAAATAGACAACACAGTCACAATTATATACCATAATGTTAAAGTTATTTGTTGCTATATGAACACCTTATTATGAATTGGCATACAATAAATAAATTAGCTTACTACAGATTCTAAATGATTAATCATACAGACATGAAGAAAATAAATAATAGCTACTATATTGGTGTAATACAGAATAATTAGAAAACTAGTAGCTTGGTGTGCACCAATATTTTTATCTAGAATATTATGTGCACCATACATTGGTTAAAAAGTTAGGTGAAACTTATATCTATACAAAGTTTATTGTAAACAGTTAGCAAAATCTCTTAGGGATTTGTACCTATTTTTAGCTTATCCTAAAAAATTATTTATAACTTTTTTATCATAAGCAAACTATCTTAATATAGAAGAAAGAAATTTACACATTAAAAAAACACTACCACTAAATTTGCTGATAATTTTAGTTCAACTAAGTATAAAAACTGAAGCACCCAAAGAAAAGTATGACACCTAATGGAGAGAAAATTTCAGGTCGGAATCCACCAACTGTCCTTTCTATTGGAAGTGTTCAAGCAATATTTTAGCCATAAAATTTTCAAAAGTGGCACATCATCCCATAAAGTTACATAGTTTAATGAAGAAGTAAAAACTGCAAAAATCCATTCAAGAGTGTTTCCATGAAGCTGCTTGCACAATGAAAAAATGAAAAGACAGATAATTGCTTAATGAAATGAGTTCTTCAAGCTGACCTTATTATACTTATTTGTTAGGTTAGATGACTGAATCTGTTTCAGATTTAACACTGAAATACTATTCTCATTTGACATAACTTTAAAGTAGATTTACAGATACATTTACCATATCCAAGATTTTTCTAAGCTTAACAGCTGGAGGTCCTAACGAAGACTGAGATGAGTGAGCAGTGAACAGTATATGGCTCTCCCCTACTACTCCTTCTTGTGTCTTCTTGGCATTAGCTAATAAAGTATACAATGAAAAATCACAATCAAATGAACAGCTCAATAAATACTCACAAAACTTAAAATACTCGTACTCTGTCACATAATATATGATTAGATATGAAAATGTGCATCATACACATGCAAATGTATATATATGTATACATTAAAAAACAAACATAATCCAATTGAAAGGAGGTTTGAAATCAGTGAGCTATATATGGATGATGAAATAACACAGAGTTTAAAAACACCTTTAACAGGAATAATGATGCCGAGTGATGTCTGTTTTTTCTAAGTATATTAACTTGTAGCAGATTTTAGCAGAAATAAAAATGATTTTATGTTTAATATTAAGATACTTTTATTAATGAAAAACGTGAACAGCAATATGTTTTTTATAATTAATATTAATTTTATCAACTGTGAGTGAAAGTATTTTTTACATACAATCATGTTACTACAAAGGTTGAGTACGTTAAAGTAAAATGATTTTGGAGCCTTACTACGTCATTAAAGTTAGTACCCAATAATAATAGCCCTGCAACATAGTTTCCATTGTGAAGTTCTCTGCTGTTATGTCTAATGCACACTTCCCTTCCTTCAGTGCTTTCCATAAGCTATATAGTGTATGAAAAAGATGTTCCAACAATCTGATCACACACTGGTATGTCTTTGTATGGAACACCAATAATACCCATTTTGTTCTCCAGCTGCTTGAGGTATGAAATGATTGAACAGGTATATGTTTGGGAAGCAACTCATGCATATGTGACTTGTGTCACTGACTTCACCTCTTACAAGAAAGTGCATTTTGCTCACTGTGAGTGAGGTACAAATTGCTGCATATCTTTTTTTTGGATGGTCCTAATACTCCAAGTTGATCCATATTAATTTAATTTAGAATGCCATTAACAACAAAGAATTTCTGAGGCAGTGATATCCTAAGTCCCCATTCTGAATGCATGAATATTTTGCATTTGAAAAGTCTGTTACATACTCTTCCCAAAACTAATCACGTATTTGGTATCACCACACTATCTATGAATCACCAAACAATGTCAAAATATAACTTTTATATAATTTTATATAAGCTGTGGTTGCCACATGATTTGCTGATCTGCATATTCAAAATAATTTTAATATAATGTACTCAAACCTATATATATATTCATTGAAAACTTATATTTTAATAGATTCCAAAGTTAAACATAAATATTCGTTAAAAACCTTTACTTACCCAAAGCTAATGTTAGGTCCTTCCTTAATACAAAACCCACCAGATACTGAGATTCTTGAGAAACAATAACAGGAAACCCATTGTGATCAGTGGACTTCAGGATGTTTTCTGCAAGGATATAGAGCTAACATGAAGATATATTTCATAATTGGTACAAAGAAAATAATTAGTATTATGATATACTTCATATCTATTTGTCTGGATTAACCAAATAAAAAAAGACATGTTTACAAAGCTTGCCAAACACTAATTTTCATCTTTGAACTGAAGCAAATTAAGGCAAATAACAGATTCTAGTATATATTGAACAGTTATGCTTGACAAATTATGCACTGTTTAAACATTCATGTTTTATTTCGGTAAATCCAACAAAAACAATTTAGTTTTTTTTTGTTTCCACTAGTGATACCACAAAGCATTAGGTTGGTTATTATTATAAAGTATTAATACGGTAATGATTATTAACACTAAGTCATTATTTCCTTAAATCTGAGCTGGTGGAAAGCATATTTCTCATAGACCATGGTATAATAACAGTCAGTTTACAATTATTGACAGGGTTTCTTAATACAAAGCTTTGAGAATATTAATACATTTTTATATGCTGATTTAGTGTAAACATATTAAGGAAAAGTTTGTTCATATAAAATACTTCCGAGAAAAATTATTCATTGGTAACTTTACAAGTCTTACTTTTTTTCTTCTAATATACAAAAAAGAAAGCCCGACAATACCAATACTTGTTAAATCTTAAAAAAAAACGAAATAGAGTTTACACTAAAAATAGTGTGGGCAAAAATAATTAGAATAGTTATTCACTCAAGTCCATTTTCTAAAGAATCTTTATTCAAAATTAACCAAGACACCATTAATAAATGCTAAATTAAGTACTTCATTACTAACCAATATCATCAACAGTCATGGTCTCTTGTGTAATTACACATAATGGACTTTCGTTTCTCCTATTACAAAAAACAAAACAAAAAAACATTAGGATAGTAAATATAATTTTATGCTCTTTAAAAATATTCATAGCAATAAACTGGGACTATGAATCACACAGCAAATCGTTGGAAAGGCTTTTAATTATCATAATTTTTCAGCTTTAACTCTCTCAGGGACCAACCTCATAACCATTTTGTGCTTCTGAAAGTTTTCGTAATATAACTTTTAATAGAATAAGCATATCTTCATGAAATATCATTTTTTTATTAAGTTTAAGATTTTTTACGTAAGGCTTTTCTCATGCATTTTTTTTTAAATGTTGATTATCCAACATGCAAAATAATTTAAGATTAATAATACTGTTATGGATCAGAAAATTTCATATGTGAAACCTTATAACCTCCAGACAATTGTCAAACATATTTTTTAGAAAAAACTTTATATTTTATCTGTTACTTTCATTACTGTATCTGTATGGGTTTGGTCAATTTGACCTAACTCATAACCACCGTAAAAATTGGGATATAGATATAAATTACACTTTTTTCATTCTAGAATTACTACAAATTATAACACGAAGCTACAAATGTTTAGCCTGAATAGTTTAAATCTTATAACATTACACATATATATAACAATCTATTATTTTTATTTTATTGACCTTTCAGCAATGTTGGACTAACATTACAGCAGTTGAATGATGCAGCGCATGTACACTCATGTATCCAATAATATGGAACTGTCCTTTACAAAGTGAGCTGTCTTGGATGTGTTCTAGTGGACCAGTATTTTGTAAAATACAGTCACATTTTGCTTATAATACATTATATATGTATGTATGTTATTACTATTTACAAATATGTTCTTAAATTTCAGTTATTTTTCTTAAAACATAGAATAGTAAATAAAGAAGTATAGAAAAGAATGATCTTTTCTAGTTACAAACTTTGTACTCATTTGCTGCTTGCCATAATTTGCTAAGTCTAATCAAATTTCGCATGTGCAGAATGTAAAACAAATTTTTTTTTAGGTTTCATATATGCATTTATATATCAATACCACAAAATTCCACTATACTTTATCAGGCTTAGTAACTAAACTGTATTTGTGTCTAAAAGAATATGAATTTTTGAGCTCAATAATGTCTTACCTTACCACTTGGAATCTACCATAGAAAGAAAGGATTTCCCTTGTAAATACTTTGCAGATGCTCAGAAAACCACATTGGGGGTATTCTAAGCTTTCTATTGGTTATTCAAACATAGACAGAAGCCGGTTTACGTAAGCAAGTATTTCCAAAAATGGAAAGAGGTGGACTAGGCCACTGCGTATGATTCAATAAATTTAGCAATATCTTAGCAAACAGAAAAAATAGTAGGTTCTTATTTTATATTCTAGCTTCTCAGTGTTGGTAATTTGAGTTTCTAATTCATAAGAAACTATAGACTTTGTATTTGGACTTCACAAACATATAATTTGAACCAATGCTGCATTCAACATACCACGTGACACACAAAAATCAGTATTTAGGAAGTTTTTTAAATATTTACTTAGAAATTAAGTAATGAGTGATAGGAGAATTTGAATTGTAGTCTATAATTTGATACCAAACTTATTGACATACATTCATAAAATAGTAGCTCAATAAAATTTTGAACATAAGTCTACAAATGTGATGACATGGCCTTTGACCCGTGACCATAGGAAAACCCGTCTCGGTAGGGTTAATTTAAATTTATAAACTTTGTAGCCATATCTATGCATCATTTATTACAGTGGTGGTACATATGAAATATCAGTCAATCATAGTGAAGTATCTTTTAGGATGGAACTCATTTTGGTTCCATCAAATATTTTTTCTTTTTCTTTTAAACTGACACTATATTATCTGGATATTGTATTCAAATCCTAAGTTAGTTGTAGCAAATAATCTCTTAAGACTTAACAACATAATTCAAGATCTTTATTTCACTTCTTGTTGAACCTAAAAAAATATTTGCTTTGTGTATAAAAGCACTTATGTAAAACATATATTACATGTTTTGGTCTTTTCTTTTGTAAATTTTTAACTTTATAAAATAATGAAAGCAACAATTATAACACAATGTGACACTTTAAGAACAACTTATCTAAGATACTAAAAAATGCTAACTGTAATCATGCAAGCAAAATCTTTATTATAAAATATTCTCCTAATAATTGTTTATTTCTGTTATGATAGAAGCAGAATATATTCAGGTTTGGTCAATATGTTTCTGAAGTGTGAGTAAAGAATTTCTGGTTAAAAACTCTTTAGTGATACATCATAAAAAAAATTCATAACTGAAAAAAAAAGTGTGTAAGAATAGCTAGACATGACTTATGTTAAAAACTACTAACCTACATTTTAATTTCTAAACATAATGCAGTGTATCATTTGATTTTAGTAAAATGTTTCGAAGAAATATGGAACTAGTCAATTTTGATATCATATGATATGAATAACAAAAAAAACATAGATGTAAAAGGCTAAATTTGATATCAAATTATAAAACAATATTTAAATAGACTTAATATATTATTTTGTTGGTCCGACAGTTACAAGTAATATGTATTATATAACACCTAATTTTCTTGCTTATTATTACAATTGTGTTAAACTAATAGATTTATTTTTAAGCAGATCTGAGTATATTTATGTCATTTATTGATTTAGATATTTCAAAATACAATACAGAGAGTAAAAAATACGGGTAAAATATATTTAATTATTGTATTCCATAATTAATTTTACTAAAAAAGACACAGTGGGTAGCTGTGGGGTGCTAAATAAATGAAAGATGGTGTTACCATAGTACAACTGGCTTCAAAAACGTTTTTCTGATTAGAAAACTTCTAATACAGGAAGAAAATTTAAGTTCTGACATTTTTAATCTACCTGGGTGTCATTATGTCTGCAGCTAATGCTGTATATATATACTCCTCCTTGCTATCCATGTAGGGATAACCATTCAAATTAATGTGGGCATCATAACTGGACAGTGGTCAAGGATGTATGTAATCATCACAAAAATACTATTTTCAAACGGATCCAAGAGGTTCTTATAGACCATGAGTTTCATACTTTGCACAGTTCAAATATAAATGACCATTAGAAAGGCTTTATTCAATCAGAGACAATTATTTAAAAGTGATAAGCCATTTCCTTGCTTATTTCCATACTTCTGATGAAAGTCTAATTATCCCTTGAACTTTTACTCACTGATATCCAATAGAATAGCTCAGTCATTTAGATTTAAATTTTTTATGCTTAAGTTGATAATAAAATGTTAAATTTTCACATACAAAGAAGTTAACATACATAATGTTCAAAACTTAAACATTTTAATTTTTTTTTAATTGTCTGTTATAGCTTTTGTATTTTACAACCATGATTAAAATCATTTTTATTAAACATATACATAGATTATTCATAAAGCATGAAATTGTGAAAATTTAGAAAAAATAAAAACGTATAAGAAGTCCTTTTGACTAATGCTTACAAGAAATATGCAAACTAATCAAAAACTGTTATTTTTGCAAAATAGTAACCTACAACAACTACAGTTTACATATAACCAGTTATTACTTCTATCTTTGTATATGTACTTTAATAAAGACTGTTATGAAGGATACATTCCTCTTCTTCCAAAAGCATCTCCCACCCACTTGCTTGCCATGACAGCTGCCATAAGTGGCACAATATACTTCACACTTCCAGTCAACTCAAACATGATTACCACTAGCGATACTGGAAAGCAAATTAACATGAACTTGTTTTACACATAACACATTTTCAAAACATGTGACCAGAGGAAGCTGCTTACTTTTTCTGTTAAAATACTCTTCCAGATGTTTCAAAATTTTAAATAGATAACTCTTTTAAGGTAAAATATTAAAAATATGATCAAACACTACAATTTGTGTACATAAGAAACAAAGACAATTACAGAATTTAGTTACTTATAGAAAATTCCAAAATCATAATGGACTTTACCAATTTTTTTTCATTTCTATTTATTATATAATCAACTCAGTTTTAATTTTAAATTATAGAAGTCTCAGAGAATATTGGTGAAAGTAAAAGTATTACACATACAGATAATGGTGTACCATTCCTAGATTTATACCCAAATAGTTAGTCATTTAATAGTCTTTGTCATGTATTCAGCTACAAGAATACTTGTAAAAAAAAGTACATATTGCAAAGCTTTATGAAACTACACAGTCACAGACAGTAAAAGAAAAACCTTTTGGTGAAATTGAATAACTGTAAATTACGAAAATACAATACCTTTTTTGCAGTAAAATATATTTTAATGAAGTGCTTACTTCTTGTAGCATAACATATGCAAGAAAGCCATCCAACCAGATGCCTACATAAGACAAAGAAAGAAGTGGAACAGAAATGTGCACGGATAGTACCAATACAACCAAATGTTCCTGTTGGTGAATACTGATGCAAGATGATAGCATCAGTCTAATTTTTTGGAAGAAAATTAGAGTGTAAGGCAAGAACAAGAACTGCAAGCCACACAATCCATACTGAAATGGAACCACATATTTGATCTAAAGTCATCATCAATGAAGATAACATGCCAAAAAGTTCAGTAGAAGGTAGGGAACTTGTAAAAAAGAAGCATCAGACATGTAGAATGACACTGAGAAATAAGAGGTGAAACTGCAAACAAACTGTAAGATTCTTTTTGATAAATATACTACAAATATGTTAATCTCTTGGAGATTTCAAACTGGGATCCCAGCCATGTACTTGAAATAAAAAGAAGAGAAAAAAAATGGATCATCTGGTCACTATCTAGGTCTGGGTTTGAAAAGATACAATAGATAGAAGTAGTAAGGGAACAGATTAACATCTAACATGATGAAAAAGAATGCATAAACTCCTACTGAACATCTGCATATGTCAAATACTGATAAGAGCACAATTACTCACATATAAAATATTTGTTCAATAACCTAATAAACAAGCAATAAACAAATCAATACATCTACAATGAGGACATTCAGTCTGAATTAAATGATGTCTAGCAGCAAGAATAAAATACAGCTTATCTGTTAAGATCAACCCATCCATGCCAGGATAATAACTAGAAAGGAACCATCTTCCAAACAGTCTACTTTGGGTGGAGGAAAGGGCAACCTGGTTATACAAAAATTGCATTTTAATAGTTTTGGAAACATTAAAGGCATAGACACCTAATTAATGACAGCACAAAGCAAAAGGAAACTCTTCCATGAAAAATCTGTAAATTGATGAAATTTCTACAATATCACAGGTTAATATCTAAAACTCTAAGCTTACAAGATTTCAGAAGACACTGGACCTAAAAGAAGTTGGCACTGTACAAAGACTCATAGATCACAAAGTAAAAATTACAGAGAAAATCAGAGTGGAACTTATTGCAGCCCAATAAGCCAAAATTGCAAAATAGGAAAGCTTCTGATCTTCAAATAGGAAGCAGATACAATAAACATGCAAGACATTGATGGAGACAGCAAAATAATAGAGCATGATTGATATCAATACAGACCTACAACAGAAGGCAAAGTGACCATTTTGAAATGGGACAATCCTAACCTATAAGCTGAAAACCACATAACAACAAACTATGAATAAAAAGCTTATACATATCATAATAAGAAAATAAGATATGTACATTTGTACTTAAAAAAAAAAAAAGGCAGACGTTCATCCACACAAAGCTGGCACAAAACCACAGTTAAGCCAGTTTACCACCTGCAAAACTTTGGAGCCCATAAATAGAAACAATTAAAAACAGTTGCTAATAGTTGTAGTGGAAAGTTTGACAATATTAAAAAATGAAAAAAAAGGATTAAAACAGAAACCTTATTTATGTGAGTAACATTTGTAGTGCAAACTGGAGAGTTCCATTCATTGTTAAAAGAAGAAATAAAACACAACCTATTACTCCAGAATACATAATTGGTTTTATTTAAGCCAACGTATTGCCATTATGGCTTCATCAGTGTAAACAAGACACTTATTAACTGATTTAGGCTCATACAAAAGATTTCAAAATAATGCGAGTCTGTGCAGTAAGATGGACTTTCAAACGGACAAGATAATACTATCTAAAGCAGACATATGTCATTACACTTATTAAATATAAGCTTAAAAGAAACCTTATTTCTTATCATCCATATTATAAGCCTGTATTAGTATCTGAATTATAAATCTTATACTGCTTAAGTTAATTGATTTTCATTATCAATTACAGTTGGATTTGTCTTTTTCAATCTCTTTAATATCTAGACATAACTTTTCCAGAGTACAGAAGTTATGGTAAAACAATAAATTAAACCAGGAGTGGAAATATATTTAGTAGCTAATTTTTGATTCCCAAAATATTGATACAAGTTGGCTGATTTGACTTTCACTCTCTTCTCCAAAAATTATTGTGATTGATGTATTTATTCTCAACTTTTATTGTTTTTAGAACAAAAATGTGAATTTGGTTCTTGAGAGCTTTATCAGTACTGGTGAAGTATTATTTTGTTGATAGAAGTTAGGTGACATGGTTAATAAAAAACTTAATGTTTTAATTATACTTTTAATTTTCTTTTTAACCTAATAATTTCTTTACAGTATTTGGCAATATGTAAGTAAACATTACTATGTGAACTTTAACAGAATTAGAGATTTATTCTACATTTTAGTAAATAACTTATTTTTGTCTGAGATATGTTTATTAGCAAAATTGGATTAACACATTATTTTTGCTATATATAAAATGACCTTTATAATGTTGGAACATAACAGATAAGTTATACCTGTCATTCTTGTGACTCCTCCGAGACAAGCTGCAGCACCTACCATGGCATATAGGCCAGGAGACAAGCAATTCTCACCAGTGGAGCATGCTCCTTGAAATACCCAAAGATAAGGGTAATGGCTAAATGTAGAAATATACAGGGAGAATAACTTCTTTAAACTTTTATCAAAGACAAAGTCATATTGTTTTTAAAGATGTAAAAACTTTTGATAATTTGAGTTGAGATAAATAGTCAATTCAAGTATATATATAGAAAAAGAAACAAACATATACTTAAACAAAGATAACAAAAAATACCAAAGTCAAAAACAAGACTTAAAAATTTAAGTCTTAAAACTAAAAGTAACAGCAAGAACCTACATATGTCTGTATTTATTATCTAACATATGAAACAAAATTATTATTCTACTACCTGTATATATCAATACATTTTGAAAGAATACAGAACACATTTTTGACAGTGCACTATACTATAGTATTAGCTAAAAGAAGTAATATTTTTTTTTCCATTACCCTACTTTTTATTTCAAAACTCCTTCAGAGATGTACACAAGCTCATCTATTCTACCATATTCAATGCATTACACCAAAATTTAGATAAGTTTCTTCACTAAAGTCAAGAAATTCTCCAATTATAGTTTTTTTTCACCTTAAGGTCAAAAAAAGTGTTTCACTATGATTTCACACTTTCATAGACAAACTTTGTGAGGTTATACTTACTATGCTAGTTGTTCCATACCAATTCCTATCATTCGACCCATTATGGCACCCATGACCAAACTTGGAATAAACAAACCAGTAGGAACCTGTAGGTATTGATTAATTATGAAAACATGAGTTATGGAACCAAATACTAATAATAACTTCCATACTATAATAATAAGCAAAATAAGATTACAAACATTTGAAATTTTGTTCTTTACATGAATATTAAAATAAACATAACCTTTAGCTCCTCAGAAGTCTAGCCAGAGCCTAACTTTAGTAAGTACAATGCAACTAACTGAATTATATTTTACAGCTTTATGTGAAAGAAAAATATTATAAACATTACTGACTTAATTTTACAAATGTAATTTCTGTTGACCAATTCTTCAATCACCATGCAAGCCAAACAGCAGCAACAGTTACTATTTGTACAATATAAAATCAGACTCTCACAAGATTGTGCAAGATGTTATTTATGTTCAAAACACATTCCAGAAATAGCTGCTAAGCATCTATTGTTCAAATATCTTTCATAGTTGTCTTTGTCACTGATACACATAACTTTATCTAGTTACCACTGTGACACAAGGTCTATCTACATTAAATATTTTGTAAGGTTTTTAACTAAAAATTGTTACTCAGTAGATGGAAAAATAATTATACAATAAAACAAATACACAAATTAAGCACCATTATATAAAGCTATTCTGTTATCTATTATTTTATCAGAAACTGTGCATCTTGTGTGGAATGCTATTTGGATATTGGGCATCAATATAATAGCCTCAGCATTACAACATCTAAAAGCTACATGCTCCAATTTTTAGAAAAAGAATTATTGTCAGTTCTGACACTTTTTTTTTCCTCTAGAATTTCTTTAAACTAAAGGCATTATTTGGAATGTATTTAAAAACGTTAAAGGTTGTAGACTGGAATTACTATTGAATTTCATTCTGAACACCTTTTGCCCAGAAGACTGTCTCTCATTTATGCACAGTAATGTATGTAAAAAAGTTAAAATACAAATAAGCTCAGTAAAACCATAAAATAAAATAAATTAATATGATTACTATTAGGATAACATTAAGTTTTGATTAATCAATTTCCCAATTAAAAACTAAAATCAACCTGTAATATTAAGACTTTTTAGATTTTAAGATAATGCTATATTGAAAGTCTGCTGAAGTAATGCTAGAATGGGTCTTAAATGTGAACATTCAGTTTCAAATATTGAGGATAGAGAAACTAAGTTGTTCTCTGTTATCAAGAAAAGAGAATACAATGTAGTCTTTATAATTTTATATTCTAATATCCAAACCTACCCATAAGTTCTACTGTTTTAAGTCCAGGTATTAAGTAACAGAAAATAAACTGAAACTGGGTTAACCCTCAAATTACCAAATTGTTTATAAATTATCCACTACAGATGGGGTTCACATATTGTATCATATTGAATTATTATAGGCTTTTCCTGTTACAACACTAAGTATAAGTAATTGGCCAAAAAAAATGTGGTGCAATCATTCAAATTCTACGTAAAATAAGTAAAAAAAACAATAATAAAGCAATAATTATTGGAATTAATTGAAATACTGACAGTACATTTTTGTGTGACATGTTATTAGGGATCCTTTAACAAACAGCCATAGACCTACAAGAAATAGGATGCTTCAATAATTTAGAAAAAAAGATAAAAATCCATTTGTACACCAACAGTAATGCTAAGAGTTGAGATTTCATGTAATATGTACAAGATTAGTGTATTGTGTGATATTTAGTCAATGTTGTTTCACTTTTAATTACTCACTTACATTTTTAAGTATTAAATAATTTCAGTTAGGAAATATTTTACGTTGCATTAGCCTTCAGCTGTTATAACTAAGAGCTAATCTTATATAGTAGAGCAGAGATATAACACAGTATGAAGCAACAATATTAGCCTTGAGCTGTTATAACTAAGAGCTAATCTTATATAGTGGAGCAGAGATGTAACACACTATGAAGCAACTGTAATAAAAGTGTGAAATTTGTTAGCATGTTCAATATTTGTAAAGAAGGAGCCAAAGTGAAATAATTCTATTATGGTGATCATCTTCTATTTTAAAATGGCCACCATTAGTAATCAATACACCTATTATATATAATTCTAGCCACAAATAAAGTTGATTTCAATGGCAATATCCCCATATTTGGGACCAAGAAAGCTTGATTAGAACACTTTTAATGGATTGGTTATCTTATACTTCAAATGACCATCACTAGTTACCAGTAATGACCATATCCAACTTAACTACATACATTCTTTACCCAAGCTCATAAAATACATGTTTGTTTCCTTTCAGCTGGTGAGGGAGATGCTTGATGATGCTCTACAAACATGAGAAACCTTAATAAATCCATATTTGCAATACTGGTGGTGGTTCTTAAGCTTATAATGGTGGTGATTTTAGAACACAGAGGCTAAAAACACCTGATAATCTAAAGCATGTCAAGTAAGAATTATAGTCAGTACAATGAAATTAGCCTATCCCAACACAACAGTCTCAATCATGCCCTACAACTTGAAGAAATGTAATAAAATACCCCATGTGAATGACCAGTCCTCCAGTAAATCAGCTAGTGAAACTGAATTTTGTTCTGCGACAAGACTGATACATTCAACTACCTTCACAAAGTTCATACTTTTTGCATGGACAAGTTCACTAACCAGTTAAAAGATATTGATTTACTCACTGAGCTTAGTTCTGCAGATCTTATAGCCATTATTATATTATCACACATGTGGTGAAAGGAATGTTGATGTGTATAAGAAGTACCCATTCACTAGCACAGGAAGAGAGCTTCGGGATGGGAAAGTAATGCCAAAAATGAATGATAGCCAGGTCTCTACTACCCAAAGCCAAGCACTGTAAATGCATCAAGGATAATTTGAAGTGTAGTTAACTTATAACACTGTGCCATTTCACAAGTGTTTGATAAATTGATCTGAATCTAGTTTGATATTGCACACTTTATCACAAATATTGGTTGTTGTCAAATGTTATTATTGTGAACCATAATTTCACATTGATCTCACTGATGGCATTTAAGGACTTCATGTCCTTCAAATTGTAGATCTAATAATCATCAAAATTGAGTTTCTATTGACCTACAAGTCAGCTAATGTCGAAATCACCTCATCTTGAAATACAAAATGGCCGATACATTAAAAGTTCTCTAATAATCATCCTTATCCAAAGAAAGTTGGTTACAACTTCATAAACCAAACTTTTCTGCCTTAGAAGTACAAGTTTTAGGTATATTAGTTGTTGATTTTGGTCATTTTGAAATTCAATATGGCAACTGTGATATGGTTATTTCAGCTTTGCACCCATCCTGAAAATGTTCATTATATATTTATCTGATGTCCATCCAACTTTCATACATTTACCATAAAGTGCACAATCCCTTCACAAGTTAGCCCTACTACTAGTGTCTGGGATGAGAAATTTCATCAAACTATAAAACAATTTTTAAGAATAACTTTCACTGGCATATAGAAAATGGGTAAAATCTATGTTGGGTAGGGATAATAGTAAAACCTCTGTTTTTATAAAGTACAATGACACTAATAAAGCTTCTTTTTAATAACCATATATTCAACACAGTTAAATCTTGATAGTTAACAGGTGCTAATTGTTCATCATTATCTTCTCAGTAGTTATTCAGGATTCAAGACCCAAGATGCTCGTAACTCGAATAATTCCTCTTTGTCCCACTCCTTATGTGGAAAATATACATACAGTGTTTTTTGAAAAGTTTGTTTGTTTGTTGCTAAACACAAAGCTACACAATAGGCTATCTGTGCTGTGCCCACCATGGGTATTATTAGTATAAGCCTTCAGATTTAACACTGAGCCACAGGGGAGGGGAGGAGGGGGCATTATGGAGAGAAAAAAAGAAACAAATTGGTCAAAGAATTCAATGCTGGAGAGAGGGTAGGAATTGTTAACTATTAAAAAGCAGGAGTCCATTTTATATTAACAATTAAAAACATTATTTGCAAACAGTATATACCTTGATCCCAAATGTGAAAATTGTGATACACAATTTGAAGATTAAGGCTAATGTTAATAATCCAAGAGACCTGTGCACACCAGCTCCAGCCTCAGCTATCTCTATCCTGCTGTTTACATTTGTAAAGTTCCTGTTGTAATCACTGTAAAAGAATTATAAAACAATGTAATTTGCTTGTTTAAAGCATTCAGGACACACACAGACTTAAATTTTACAATACAAAACTGAGTTATAATTATACAAGAAATCAGTCAGAACAAAAATTAATATAAAAGCTAAGATCAATTAAATTTTAATCAGCCTCCCCATCAATTTTTTTTGAAAATGAAAAACAATAACATGAATTTTGTTTACGAATAACAGATGTTAGTTATTCAGTTTGATAAAATAAATAATTTTAACATATATTTGTCCTCTCCAGTGCTTAATCTATGCTAGATCTTAGATAAACAGCCATTTTTCTTCACAATTTAAATGTGGTTACACTATAATTCTTTCTAAGCCTGCTTTGGTCACAGTTGGAATTGATATTGACCGACCTAGTTACTACATTACTTCTTTCTAGCTAAATCTAAAACAGTAGCTTCAATAGCATTTAACTTATTTTCCAAAATCCAAATTTCTTCCCCACCTGTCAATAGGAATATGGTACTTTTATTTCCTCCTTACTTAAGAACTGGTCAATTTTATAAATTTTGACCTTCACAAGATTTTACTCCCAAAAATAAAATGCACCAATTTGAATATTTATATATTTTCATTTCAAACTATTTACAGTGCCATTGCATAAAAAGTTCTGAAGACAGGCTAAGATAAATAACATTTTCCTTAACTGATCAATACCGACAAACCAATTAAACTTCACTCTTCTTATCTGTCTAAATTAAGTGCGTACTCTTAATATTTCTTTTTAATAGCACTAATGACTAAATGACTAACTTTTTTATACTCCTCCAAGAAATGTATCAAAAACACAAACATTATTATAATGTTGGGTCAAAAATGGCCTTTTTTATGATAGAAAGACTACTTTATTGTCCTTCTTTCTGCTGCTTTTTGTTTGAAAAAATATTAAGCAATTATTTTACTAAAATCAATGCACAACGGAAATCAGCATGCATGAAAACCATGTACTGCTGGAAATAAAATACAAAAAAATGTGAATACTCCTGTTAATTTGGTTGCATAAGTGTTTATATTAAAAATGCTACTTGCAGCTGGCAAAACATTTTTTGTCTAAAACTTACCACAAAGGGGATATGTCAGCCACACCACACTGACTAAATAATAACTTAATGAGGTCACTACTGTTCATGCGAGTATAAATATTTGGAAAACTGATAATAGCTGTAATCAAGGAGATAACCAGTACCTATAAGCAAAACAAAACAGTTTATTATTTAGGTGAAATAAATCAGCAAAAACTTCAATAGTAAACACTTTATAATTCAAAATATTAAAATACAAAGTCCTCATTAATGAAACAATTGTAAGCAAATAATTACAGATATAATAAATGTTCAGAAACCTTCTTTTTTTTTAACACTTCCAAGTTATTACTAAGTTTTAAAATTCTGTCTGATCTCTCCTCTAAAACTCACTGAAAAAAACAACAACAATTATAATCGAAATGTTCAGAGTTAGCATTTTGGTTTGTTTTATAATTTATTAACATTTCTTTTAGATCAAGTAATAAACAAAATTCAAACAGCTATCTGATTTTTTTTTTACTACCCTCCAATTGATATTTTTTATTTGGGGAATAGATATTTCAAATTTCCCACCTACATAAATAAATCGTCTGAACAAATGATACAAATCTGCAAATTTGTGGTCTATGTACTTTTGTTGCTTATTTCTAGTTTACACTGTTTTAAATCAGTGAAGTTTTGAAGTTAATGCAATCAAACCCTGTAAACATCAAATGTTTGTGTGCAAGACTGCAGAAAGTTCTATGTATGCATAATGTCCCTGTTTTGTAAATTTTCTAAGCAATTAAAGGAAATAACCTGTTAAGTAAAACTCCAGGTTAACGTAGTCTCATCGGGTACAACAACTGTTGTATCTGATAAAGATAGGTTAACCTGTTGAAATGTTGTAAAAATAAATATTCCATCCAGCGTAACTATCAATAAACAAGTTATAAATTTTTTAACATTTGATTATTATGTCAGAAACGTTTCTTGACAGCATGCCTTCAAAACTCTATTATGATTTTGTATTTTTATGCTTTTTTAAATCTAATTAAGTTTATTGATTATTCTGCCTATTTTCTATTTTGTTGAAGTAATTATTACTGTGTCAGTTACTTTTTGCTTTGCAAACATTCTCACTTCAGATTTGAAACTATAATGTCACATGTTGGACTTTGCTTTCACATGAGCTTACAGATTAAAAATAGTTGTGTTGATCCTCAAAGTAAAGTTTACATGTTAAAATCAGTTAACTTCTCCAATTACATGTACAGTAGAGTAGCTTCTAATCCCAGCCATGCTTGACCCAAAATCTCTGCCTCAATTTTCATTAGATATCAGAAGTTACCAATTAACAAATCCCAGAGATCGCAAAAAAACCTAATGATATGTGTATGTTGAGTCATAACTATTACAATATAACAAA